CCCCCCCCCCCCCCCCCCCCCCCCCCGCAAGACACTTGTTCTCTGATCTTTTGCCTCTTCTTTCGCTGTAAGTTTCCTCTTAGGTCTCCAGTTAAACTTGACCATTTGTTTTGTAAATGCCACAGTCAATATTCTTTGGCTTATAAATATTCTAAACAAATGGTGTCATTTTTAATTGGTAGCCCTGAGATGTAACTCACAGCCGGTGAGAATTCAGGCAGCTGTGGATTGCTTCAGGATTGCTATCTACTCATTCCCTTGATCCTCTGAGGCTTGCTAGTCTGGCAGATCGAGACTGTCTGGAAGTACCTCACGTTTCATTGGCCTGAGATTTCCTCCTGTTTGTTCCGGCAGATCAGGACCAGTTTCTTTAACTGCCAGCTCCATTCTGAACCCTTCTGCGGGGGTGGGGGTGGGGGTGGGGGCGAAGACCGAGCCCACTCAGTCTGCTAACTTCAGCTGCCTTCCAAGCGCTCCTAGAGGGAGAGTCATGTCCCCCCACCCCACCCGCCAGCCCTGGGCGTTGTGCCCGGTCAGTCTCCCTGCCTGGGGGAATCTCTTCCCTTTCAGCCTTTGGGGCTTGGAGCCCTGGCAGCTCCCCAGGGGTCGCCCAGGGTGGAGAGCCGCAGGGTGAGTCCCCCGAGGGGCCACGGCCTCCAATCCTGATCCAGGACACCGGAGGAATTTGAGCACTCATCTCCCTCTGGCTTTTTCTGCTCTGCTTCCCCCCCCCCAACTCCCCCCCTTCCCCCCCCGCAGCTGGTGAAGACGGCAGAGCTGGACCCTTCCCACAATTACCTCTTTGGCTTCCACCCCCACGGGGTCCTGGTGGCCGGGGCCTTTGGGAACTTCTGCACCGAGGCCACGGGGTTCTCGCGGCTCTTCCCGGGGCTCACCCCGCACCTCCTGATGCTGCCCTTTTGGTTCAAGGTCCCCTTCTTCCGCGACTACATCATGAGCGGAGGTGAGCTCTCGGCGGGCAGGGTGGGCACGGAGGGGCTGCGAGGCAGCGAGGGGGCCCTCAGCCACTCGGCTCCTTCCCTTCTAGGACTGGTCTCTTCGGAAAAGGCCAGCGCTTCCCACCTCCTTGGCCACGAAGGCGGCGGGCAGGTGGCGGTCATTGCCGTGGGGGGCCCACCTGAGTCACTGGACGCTCGCCCGGGGGCCCTGACCCTCCAGCTACGCAGCCGCAAAGGCTTCATCAAGATGGCCCTGCAACATGGGTGAGGGGCCTCTGGGAGCCCTGGGCGGCGGGGGTGAGGAATGGGAGGCCCCGGAGGGGGTGGGGGGCGGGACCGGTGCCAACCAGCAGGCTCTTCCCTCCTCCTCCTCCTCCTCCTCCTCCTTGCAGAGCAGCGCTGGTGCCCGTCTTCTCCTTCGGGGAGAACGAGCTCTTCAACCAAGTGCCCAACCTGCCAGGCTCCATCGTCCGCAGGCTGCAGGAGCGGCTCCAGAAGGCCATGGGGCTGGCCCTGCCCCTCTTCCACGCTCGAGGCATCTTCCAGTACAGCTTTGGCCTCCTGCCCTTCCGGAGACCCATCTACACAGTGGGTGAGCGGGCCTCTTGCGGCTTGAGGCTCCCGGAGGATGCCAGGCTGCTCAGTGGCCGGGGACCGCCTGGATCCCATCGGCCGTGGGCAACTGCCTGGCTGCTAGGCCTTTCCCCCAGACAGGCCAGCCTTTCCCTGAGCTTGGAGTCAGCCAAGCGGCCTCCCTCTGGTGATGCAACAGCCAGCGGCTGGTCTGTGTGTTGCAACCCCCTCGGAGCCAGCCCTTCAGCGGGGCAGCAGCCTTGGACTTTGCTTGGGGAGGTGGGTGGGGCTAGAGATGCTGTGTTGCAATGCTGTGGCAGAGGGCGGCTCTGGCGCTTGCCCACACGAAGGGGCAGTGCTGATGCGGCTGGCAGTTTCCAGCAGATGCTCCGTCCCGTGGGGTGTGAGCCCCCCCCCCCGAGGCCACGTAGCACCCCCTGGCCTGGCTGGGCTGAGGCTCTTGGCCGATGGGCGGAAGAAGGCTGCTGCTGACCTCCCTTGCTGACCAAGCTCAGTCCAGGCCTCCCCAGGGCCTCCTCGGGAAGGAGGGGCTACGGCCGCTGGGAGGAGGGGGCGGCTGGTTGACTTCCCGGCTGCAAGAGGGACGATCCGGGGTCTCTGCCGCCCCTTGGCCTCCTCTCTTGCTTCTCCCTGCTCCTGGAGGCAGCCGGAGGGCTCATTGGCCTCTTTCTTCCATTTCTCATGCCTTGGCTGCCTTCAGTGGGGGCTCCGATTCCGGTGCCCAGGATGCCCCACCCGTCGCGGGAGGCCATTGATGAGCTGCACGAGACGTACTTGGAGAAGCTGACTCAGCTCTTTGAGGAGCAGAAGGCCAAGTACGGGCTGCCCCCAGACAAGCACCTGACACTCATCTAGCTGGGCGGGAAGGGCCCCCCCCGGGACACCGAGGCCCCCCCCCGGGCCGGGCAAAAGGGTTGCGCAGCCGCAGAAGCCGGCACCGTCTTTTAGGAAGGCCCTCACCAAAGGCGCTCTGGAGTCCTCCGGGCTTCCTTCGTTGCCAGGCGGCCTCCGAGCGGCATCCAGAGAATGGCTGGCAGTGGAACCCTGGACCCGGCAGAGCTGGCATCAGGGGGCGCGGATGCCAAATCTTGGACAGCGGGCGCCTTAAGAGCAGTTTTGCTCTTGGACTCTTATGGGGGCTGCGGCACAAACCGTCCTGCCTGGAATTTCCTTTGGAAGAAATAAAGTGGAGCACTCAATGCTATGGAGGGTAGAGGAAGCTTGGGGGGGACATCGGGGGTGGTGGTGGTGGGGAGGAGCCCCAGGGGTCGTTGGCCTGCCTCCCTCCTGCACTCCGCTGCAGCCAGTGGGGAACCAGGGTGGTGTGAGAGCTGGGAGGGTGTGTGTGTGGGAGGAGAGAGCCGGTCTGCCCAGCGCTGGGCGGGCTGAGGGCCTCCGGTCCGAGACTTCAGTTGACCTGCTGGGGATTTGCTGCCACCCAGTTCCCCCCCTCCCAGTGCAGGGGACCCTGCTGGGCTGCTGGCAGGAGGAGCGGTGCCCAACGGGTGGGGCAGTGGCCGAGAGGCAGCCGGTGGGGGTTGGCTGGACCTGGCAGGCCAAGGACCCCAGAGTTTCCAGCCAGGTTTACAAACGAAGCCCCTCCCTCAGCTTTCCAAAAGACCCCCTGCAAAGTGGGGAAGGGGCTTTTGAAGGGGGAGCAGCCAGGGGCTGTAGAAGGGGCTCCAGGAGCCGCCCAGGACCGGCTTCTAGAATGGGCCGAGCTCTCCATCTCTGGCGGGTCAGCGGGTCAGGTCCTGGCGGGAGCAGAAGTGGAGCGCCTTGCCAATCTCCGTGCCGAGGGCCGTGTCCTGCGATCCTGGCTTGGTGGCAGCAGCCCAGCCCTGCAGCAAGACCCTCAGCCTCCCCCCGCCCCACCCTGTTTCCGGGACCCCCTGTAACGCAGGAGCAGGAGGAGCCTCAACCCCCCCCCCCCCCCAGCTGAGCACAGCAAAGGGCCTAGTCCCCTTTTTTACCCATGGGGGGGGGGGGGGGCTGTCTCCCTTTTGGTCAGAGAGGACCTGCTGAGGCCTTGGGGCTGGGGTGGGGTGGGGGGCGCAGTGGCGCTTGGCCTGCAGGGAACTGTGGGGGGAGGAGGGAATAAATGGGGAGGGCAAAGCAGAGGGGGCACTGTGTGCACTGGCAGGTCTGGGTCTGGGAGGGGGGGTGCATAATCTGCATGGGGGGGGCCTGTAGGGAGATGGCAGCTGCAGGGACACTTTTGGCCCCCCACAGGCCTCTGGAAGGAAGGACCCTGCTTCTCCTGGGAGGCAAGGGGCGAGGGGGCGAGGCGGGGGCACCTGCCTCGGCCGGGAAGGAAGTGGGGGTGTTGGGGTTCAAGGGGGCCACGTCTTTGGCCTTGTGGGGCTTCCCTGGGGGCAGGAGAGCCGGTCCCTGCCTCAGCATGGAGCTCCCTTGGGCTGCCAGGCTCAATGGGGTGGGGGCCACGTGGGGCGATTCCTCCCGTGGGGACCCGCTGTGGGTGGAGCTTGGGGGAGCCCTGCTCCTGCCTGGCCTTAGGGCCGGGCCTTTACTGCTGCCCTGACTTCCCTGAGGCCGGAGAGGCTGCTTCTGCCGGGGGTGCCTTGCAGCCACTCGGCTGGGCCGGGCAGGTGGGCAGAATGTGGGGCGGTCCCAGGGCAGGCCGACTGGCTGGGAAAGGTGACAAGTGCAGGCTGGGGTGGGGGGTGGGGCTATTTCTCTTCCCTGGGCCTCTTGGGCAGCCTGGGGGGGGGTGTGCAACGGTGCAGGGGAGGGAGAGACCGGAGGGGGCCCATCCTGCAGGCCTTGATCCCCACTTTGGCAGCTGACTTGCGAGAGGCTGGTGGTCCCAGGCTGCACCGTCCGGCCACGGCCATGGCTGCCTGGTGTCCAGAAGAGCCACCGCTCCGCCCAGCTCTGCACTCCCAGCTCCCTCGGGCCTGCTGGCCGAGTGGTGGGGGGGACGGGGGCTCTGGCCAGACTTCACAATGGCTTCTGCCCCGGGACAGCCTCTCTCCCCGGCCGGGTGGCCCGCAGAGGGGGAAGCGCCGAGGCCAGCCGGGCAGGGCATTAGGGAGCCTCGTCCCGGGTGCAGCCGCAGCAGAGCCAGGATGGCTCCTCGGATGGATTTCCCTGGGATCCGGAATCCCTGGGGCCTGATTGGCTGGCCAGCCTGGGGGAGGCAGGGAGGCCTGTGCCTGGGGGGAGCTAAATGGGGGAGGGGCTTTCTGGAGGGAGTGTGGGGGGGGCTGCTGCAGGGAAGCTGGACCGGGCGCTGGTGGGATGAGGCGGAGAGAGCACCTGGGCTGGAGGCTCGGTCTTCCCCGGGCAGGGGAGGCGAGGGGCCCAGCCGAGGGAGGCCTGGGCACCTGCCGGCCTTCTTCGGCTCCGGGCTGGGGCTGCTGCCTCCTCTCTGCTGCTGCATTAGCCCCCCCTGCCCCCCAACCCAGGTCCTGGGGGCCTCCAGGGGCCGGCCTGGGTGCAGAGGGAGGCGAGGGAGCCTTTGAAGCCCTTGGCCCCCTCAGGGGACGGAAGCTGAAGGGGGGAGGAGGGGGAGGTACGGGGGGGCATGTTTAGCTCCCG